GAGAGAGAGAGAGAGTAAGAGAGAGTAAGAGCGAGAGAGAGAGAGAGAAGTAAGAGCGAGAGAGAGAGAGAAAGTAAGAGCGAGAGAGAGAGACGTAGAGAATAAGACAGTAAGGGAAAGAGAAAAAGAAGAGGGAGGGCGGGACGAAGGAAGAGTGGAAGAGAAAGAAAGAGAAGAGAGGGACGGAGGAAAGAAGAAAGAAAGATGGGTAAGAAATAGAGAAAGAATGAGGGAGGATGGGGGAAGATAGATACATAATGAGAGAGAGAGACTGAAGAAGGAAGAGGGGGGAGAGAGAGGGAGGACGAGAGAGAGGAGGGAGGGAGACAGATAGATAGAGGGAGAGAAAAAAGAGGGGAGGGAGAGATACATAGAGATTGTCATAAAGAAAGAGTGAAGAAGGGAGTGAGAGAGTGTGTGTGTGTGAAAGAGAGAAAGAGAATGTATAAGTAACAGGGAGAGACATAAGTAGGTAGGAAGGGAGAGAGAGAGAGAGAAAGAGGAAACAGAAAGAAAAATTTACATAAAATCAGACATAGATAGACAGAGAGAGAGAAGGGAGAGGGAAAGAGGAAGGGAGGGCGGGACGGAGGAAACGAGGAAGAGAGAGATAGAGAGAGAGAGAGTGAAGAAGGAGAGAGAGAAAGAGAGATGGGGAGCGAGCGGGGGGAGAGATATAGACAGAGAAAGGGAGAGAGAGAGGGGGTGGTGAGTGAGAGTGAGAGAAAAAAAGAGAGAGGGAGGGAGGGAAAACGAGAGAGGTGAGGGAGAGATAGAGAGTGTCAAAACGAGAGCGGAGGGAGGGAGGAGGCGAGAAGGAGGGAGGAGAGAGGGAGAATTGATAGATAGAGGAAGACAGAGAGTGGGGGGAGGAGAGAAACATAGAAAGTGCCAGAGAGGGAGAGGAAGTAGGGAGTGACACACACACACACACACACACACACACACACACACACACACACACACACGCACACACACACACACACACACACACACACACACACACACACACACACACACACACACACACACACACACACACATATATATATATATATATATATATATATATATATATATATATATATATATATATATATATATATATATATATATATATATATATATATAGAGAGGGGAGGGAGGGAAGGAGGAGAGAGAGAGAGAGAGAGAGAGAGAGAGAGAGAGAGAGATAAACAGAGAGAGAGAGAGAGAGAGAGAGCGAGAGAGAGGGAGGGACCGAGGGAGGTCTATATAAGTACTTATATAGACCTTGGCTATGACAGCCCTCGCCGACCTGCACTGGGCGAGCGTGGCAGGTGTGGCCCTCGCTCTGCCCTTCACGAAACGCGTCTCGAGCAACACCAGGGCAGTTCCTATTGAGTCAGCGCGTAACACACACACGTATATGTATGTGTGTGTGTGTCTCTCTCTCTCTCTCTCTCTCTCTCTCTCTCTCTCTCTCTCTCTCTCTCTCTATAATATATATATATATATATATATATATATATATATATATATATATATATATATATATATATATATATATATATATATATATATATATATATATATATATATTATATATATATATATCATATACACAGTCACGTATGTTTATTGATGCTGATACTTATATAAATGTATATATAGATATAGATAGATAGATAGATAGATAGGTTGGTAGTTAGATAGATATATAAAGAATTTTTTCCATACATGCATGCAAGCGTATCTCATTTAATGATTTTTCTTATCATCCTTATCATCATGATTGCTAAAAGCATCGGTCCTCATGTTTTCCTTGTCAGTGTTGTTGTCATTATCACTGCCGTTGCTTGAACTCATCCTCATCGTGCACAGAATTGAGTTTTCCGATTCCGCCTTGTCACCATTGGCGGACTCATCATGCAGTTCATGACCATGATAACCATTATTCCTGTAGCTGCTGTTATTGTTATCTTTATTCTAACGTTATCAAACAATATTGCTCTCTTTATCCTTCTCTTCATCATCATTATCATCACCATGGTCATCATGTACACACACAATGAAAAGGGTTTTGGGTTGAGTTTATTACGGAAGGTAGTTGTGAACCCCCGGTGGTAGCCCCCGGGAGCGGTGGTAGTTGTGAACCCCGGGAGCGGTGGTAGTTGTGAACCTCCAGGAGCGGTGGTAGTTGTGAACCCCCGGAGCGGTGGTAGTTGTGAACCCCGGGAGCGGTGGTAGTTGTGAACCCCCGGAGCGGTGGTAGTTGTGAACCCCAGGAGCGGTGGTAGTTGTGAACCCCCGGGAGCGGTGGTAGTTGTGAACCCGGGAGCGGTGGTAGTTGTGAACCCCCGGAGCGGTGGTAGTTGTGAACCCCGGGAGCGGTGGTAGTTGTGAACCCCCGGGAGCGGTGGTAGTTGTGAACCCCCGGGAGCGGTGGTAGTTGTGAACCCCTGGGAGCGGTGGTAAGTTGTGAACCCCGGTGTAGTTGTGAACCCCCGGGAGCGGTGGT